TCCCTTCTCTCCTTGCTCTCGTCCTATCGCCTCTCATATGACAAGGGAACAAAACGGGACAGACAAGCATTTAAAGTTTATACACTTAACCAAGTTATCCACATTCAATATTCCCCCACTCATATTCGCTATAAGACTGAACTCAGGACTAAATAGATCGCTCAAAAACATTTTTATTTTATTTTAATCCGTCATTTAATTTAATTCATTATACTCCGTCAACATATATTTAATTTATAAATTCACTACATCTCAACAAATAGTTTCATGTTCGAACAACAGTCACTTTAACGATTTAGAAGATTCGTGTCCAAATACCTCTTGTCTGTGGCTATTTCTCCCCCTGCAGTGTAACCCCACAGAAATATGACCCTTTACCCATCCCGTGTTGTAGTTTTAGCAAATCACCTCGTGTCGTAGTTTTAGCGCCGTAAAATCAAGTGCATGCGCAAATCCATTTAACCATACGATTGCCACACAATAGAACGCCAGCGTTCTACCTCAGTTCTCTATTTTACACTTATAGTCAGACAATTACACATAACCAGAGCTCACATTTGCGTAGAACTCTGAATTCCACACACACACAAACAAGTTTAAGAGGCTTATCCCATCGCAATGAGACCTCTAAGGACACGTTAGCATGTAGCACGCAACACAATTAGCCTTAGCATTTAGCATTAGCCGCTATGTACAATGTAGCATGAAACCCAATCCAGCATTTAGCATTAACATTAGCCTTAGCCTTTAGCTAACTGCGGCCTACCCCACACAAATAAGCATCCCACGCTGCCCTTTTCTTTTTAACATATTTCCCTACCATTTTGTGCTACCGTGGACTTAATGACAATTCACCGAGAAATTAGACCCAACCGACCCCCCGTCGGACGAAAGTCGAGCAATAATCACAAATCAGATAAATTCCATCAAGCCCGAGTTTTTCTTTAAAAAACACACCGACTTGCACATTCTATCGTGCTAGCGGCTTTTCGGCCCATTCTAAATGGCCCACTCCGGGGTCTTTACGCGGTACAGCGCTCTAATGTATGCATATCTGTTTTAATTGTACACCTTCAATACTTAATTCCTACCGTTTTATGCTCTAAAATTCCAATTATCTGCCGTTTACCAATGGAATTACATTTTAGAATATTATTACAGACTCCTAGTCGACCGCAATACCCCACATCAACAACGACCCAAGTACTTTTAACTGTACACCTTCAATGCCCTCTCATGAATCAGCGGAATAACTAATGCCCGAATTTTGTGAGTAATCTCACCTTTAAAGCCGGCTTGGGCAGTAGTCAACTCGCGCCTCAGGAAGGGAACCAAGAACGATGCAATCAGAATCTCGGTAGGACCTCCATTTGTGGTATCGCGTCGAATGCTGGTGGGTATTGCTGTCAATCAAGGAGTCCGCTTAGGCTGCACCGTGATTAGAGGCTTTTATTAATATCACAAGGTTACAGCATAAGTTACAGACCCGCGGTGTCTGGAGAAGCCCCGTCCCAAATTAATCTGAATGCTTCTGACTTCTCCTTTGTCTAGCTCCTACTTATAAACAATGGCAAAAATGGGTTGCTCCCTCTTTCGTCCAATCACCTATCCCCCCTGTCTCCAACACACTTCCTGTCTGTTGTATGTGGCGTTACACTAAAACATTCCCTCTTGATACTAAAATCAACGTCCTCTCTGGTTCCACTTAAAACATTAACAACGTCATAATCTTCATATACGATACTTTCAATAAATGCTTGTTTTTTTCTGGCAACCCTTCCAAATAGCATATTGGCATGGAGGTGTAATTGTAGATGTGGAGACTTGGTGACTTTTGTAATTCTCCAATTTTGGCCTTTTACTTTTTTTTGGCCTCCCGAACCATCTTCCTCACTGAACGTGAGGACAAGATACACTTGCGTCCAATACCAGGCAAGTTTACCGGTTTTAAACTTCTTAATTATTGTCCTAATAGTGATGCGTGGTATATAGAGTATATGTTTTTTTGGTGCTATTTTTACGTACCCATTGCCTGATTTTTGAAGCCATTTATATATTTTTGTTTGTGAATTCTTTGCCGTTTCCCATGGTGAAGGATGAGAAAGGGATATTACCTCATTTTTATACTCCAGTGAAGGGCACAATACATGAAGGGCACAACACAGCTCCTTAAACTGAGTTGAACTTAAACAAGTAGAATGTTAATGCAGATTTACTTTTGTTTGATTTTATTTAGGAGAATCTTTAGGGGTGCCAATAAGTTTGACACCTATCTTTTTGAGAGAAAAAAAGTATTACTTGTGAAACAAAATCTATTTCTCTGAGCATACAATATAGCTCAATACTGTATTTGTATTATTTATTTTATACAGTCTTTTTTGCTAATCTTTATCAAGGGTGCCAATAATTATGGATGTGACTGTACGGACAGTAAGCAGGTTTTATATCAGTAAGTACTGTCAAAAACATTTAGTTAGTTTGAGGGTATACTGTAGGTTGATAAAAAAACACACACACAACAATATCTCATGATTTAAAAATGTAATATTTAATGGTTAACAGTCAAATCAAGGCTTATCATTCACAATATCTTATACACTGTATTATTCATTTTAACTGACAATGCAATCGTGGCACTATGTTGTAAACTATCAACTATCTACAATTAAAACAACATGCAAAATCCTGAGAAAAAGTGAGAGCCTTGTTCTACTGAACATTGTTTTTATTATAATCCAACCGTGGCCCACAAGTCCAGAACATCCTTGACAAGTATCCTTATATTTAGGTTGAAACAATGAAACACATTCAAGAGTGACACTGAATAGCTAATGCCAATTAACACCCCTTCTCATCCCAAAAATCAGAACACTCTGCAAATATAAATGACAGGGATCACATTTTAAAATAATAAATCTATAAAGCTTTACCTTTTCCGAACAAAAATAATTTAATATTACATCACTATTTTGACAAGTGTTTTGTAAAAATCAATAATATTTCAATAAAAGGGCCCCATTGAGTGTAAAACTGTTGATCACATTATGTGATTGAATAGACAACCTATTTCCACTCATACATAATACACTTCAACCATATGCCGTAACAGTACAAAAGTGTGGCTACACAGGTCATAGACACATAGGAATGCTGTCATTGGGAAGGGGTCTCCTCAGGTCTATCAAACAAAGAGCAGATTAAATCCATGCTGAACCTATTCGTGCATTAATTCTGCGCTCGTCAGTATTTGCCAAGCTCACACTGGGCAGTGATAAAGCCATTCCAATTACCCACATGTCCTTTTTAACTATCCGCTCCAATATGTGGTCCTCTGTAGCTCAGCTGGTAGAGCACGGCGCTTGTAACGCCAAGGTAGTGGGTTCGATCCCCGGGACCACCCATACACAAAAATGTATGCACGCATGACTGTAAGTCGCTTTGGATAAAAGCGTCTGCTAAATGGCATATTATTGTATTAATATAAACAGGTTGTTTAGTTGTACAGATGTAGGATCTTAATATGATCACCATGTTGCAGGAGAATTTAAACCTTGTAGTGTATTTCAGGTATAAAAAGGCTTCTGGATTTAGTCATTTCCACTTTGAAATTCCAGGCTTGATTTTCCCATACAAAAATGTCCATTCATTATAATCAACATAATAATTTACTATTTCCTGTTGCTGCAGAATAATGTTCCTTCTGTAGCAAACTGGCTCAAATTAAGATCCCCTATATATCTAGGTATTATTTTTGCTTCTTTGCAGTTTCATGTTGACTCTATTGAAAACACTGTCATTCCAAACACAATTGTCTTCTTCAGCGCCTCAGTTGTTTTCTTGTGAGACTGTAGTTTCCTGTAGAATGTGCAGTAAGTTAAGCCATAGCACGAAGCATGATGATATTCATCAAAAGAGAAATATGAGAGGAATCCAGCACTAATATTCAAAACCTGTATTGGCCATTTGAGAAGCTTCATATCATCCAAACACAAAAACAACAATACGAAAACAAATCATTGAGGGGAGAGGTGTTGAGGTCCATACACTTATCTTATCCAACGTACTAGCGGTGTTGTAATATTGCAGACCAGACTGTGGTTTGGTCAAGATAAACTTAAGCAATTTGCGGATTTTAGATAAGCTCCCTGCTGTTGGCAAAGCACCCAGCCAGCCTGAACATTACATTCAGGCTTCCACATACTCAATAGATTAAAAGCTGTAGCCTTGTGGAACACAGTCTCCCAGTTACACATCTATCAGCCTGTGGGAACAGATTTCTTGAATTCTTAACCTAACTACAAAATGGAACCTTACACGCTTAGGAAATACATTAAATATGTTTTAAAATACTAGGGGCTTCACTGAATTGCTGATTGTACTGGGGTGGAAATGACTTGCAGACTTCCTGCGTAATTAAACATCTGTAAACACTTGGAAGGAAAAGTAGCCTAAGAGTAAGGATGTGTGAGCAGGCAACACAACAGTTAAAGTAGCCTAAGAGTAAGGACGTGTGAGCAGGCAACACAACAGTTAAAGTAGCTAGATGGGCCAGTTGCAAAGTCAAAATTGGCTATATTGTAAAAATGTGTGTAAGGTTAGGGTTAGTCATTAGGGTTAGCAGTGTGGTTAAGCTTAGGGTTAAGGCTAGGGTTATGTTTCAAATCAGATTGTATGACTTTGTGGCTGTGCCAGCTAATGACCACTCTGCACAGCTGCCTCCAGGGAAAGATTCATGACAATAAATGCCGACCTTCCTTTTCACCAATACATTCACAACTTGCATCAATCTCCAGTGGCTTGGGTGATATACTTATGCTCTTAGGTAAAAGGAAGTTGTGATTAGAAATAATACCTAGGGTGTTGACACTTAATAAACCACTGTTTAGAAAATTATATGATGGCTATATAAGTAGGTTTGGTAAGAGCGTTGGTTAATTTAAGAAAATAATGCTTACAGGTTGAGTCTTCTCTCCAAATGTGCTCGAGAACGTCATCTTGACAGTGTTCTTGTGCCCTGTACGCTCGTCAAAGGTCTGGCAGGTATCGAAGGGGGGGCTGTACAGGTGCAAACTGACCGAACCGTCTGTGTGACTGTCGTTCTCTACTCTGTGCAACCCAATGGAATCTAAAACAGACATACACCACACATCTACAGTGGCTTGCGAAAGTATTCACCCCCCCTTGGCATTTTCCTATTTTGTTGCCTTACAACCTGGAATTAAAATTGATTTTTTGGGGATTTGTATCATTTGATTTACACAACATGCCTACCACTTTGAAGATGCAAAATATTTTTTCTTGTGAAACAAACAACAAATAAGACAAAAAAACAGACAACTTGAGCGTGCATAACTATTCACCCCCCCAAAGTCAATACTTTGTAGAGCCACCTTTTGCAGCATTTACAGCTGCAAGTCTCTTGGGGTATGTCTCTATAAGCTTGGCACATCTAGCCACTGGGATTTTTGCCCATTCTTCAAGACAAAACTTCTCCAGCTCCTTCAAGTTGCATGGGTTCCGCTGGTGTACAGCAATCTTCAAGTCATCCCACAGATTCTCAATTGGATTGAGGTCTGGGCTTTGACTAGGCCATTCCAATACATTTAAATGTTTCCCATTAAACCACTCAAGTGTTGCTTTAGCAGTATGCTTAGGGTCATTGTCCTGCTGGAAGGTGAACCTCCGTCCTAGTCTCAAATCTCTGGAAGACTGAAACAGGTTTCCCTCAAGAATTTCCCTGTATTTAGCACTATCCATCATTCCTTCAATTCTGACCAGTTTCCCAGTCCCTGCCGATGAAAAACATCCCCACAGCATGATGCTGCCACCACCATGCTTCACTGTGGGGATGGTGTTCTCGGGGTGATCTGTACTTCTCCACAATTTTGTCCCTGACCTGTTTGGAGAGCTCCTTGGTTGTCATGGTGCCGCTTGCTTGGTGGTGCCCCTTGCTTAGTGGTGTTGCAGACTCTGGGGCCTTTCAGAACAGGTGTATATATACTGAGATCATGTGACACTTAGATTGCACACATGTGGACTTTATTTAACTAATATGTGACTTCTGAAGGTAATTGGTTGCACCAGATCTTATTTAGGGGCTTCATAGCAAAGGGGGTGAATACATATGCACGCACCACTTTTCCAGTATTTAGTTTTTTCATTTCACTTCACCAATTGGGACTATTTTGTGTATGTCCAAATAAAAATCAATTTAAATTACAGGTTGTAATGCAACAAAATAGGAAAAATGCCAAGGGGGATGAATACTTTTGCAAGGCACTGTATAAGATATGGCACTGGAAGTTGAAACGTTCAAATATCACACAGATGTTAGTTCCACTAATGGTAATTTTACACCAAACACAACACATAGAGTAATACAGTATCCATTTAGAATTTGTATAATATGTAACCATCCTTCGTAACATGTACAACTTGTTTTCAGAGAATCAAATACATGAAAGTAAAGGTATTTACTTGTAAATGGATGTTTATAATGATATACATGCATATTATGCGTGTAAATCATATGAATAAATGCCTCCTTATGTTGTCTGACACACAATGTTGAGGAAATACTAAAATGCCTTGAATCTTACCATTGATGTAGGCACACTTGTTTTCTTTCAGGATTCTCTGAGATTTCTGAACCATGTTGCCACCGTCATGTGTTTTTTTATCGGGCCATTCAAACATCGTCTCCTTCAGTTCGCCTTTCAGTATCTTCATGAAACAGTGGGAGTTTGTGTGGTCATGGATACTGCTGCAAGTGGTGAAAAACACAGACAGTCTTAGAATGTTCCAGAACAGTGTTATCTGGGGCTCAGCCTTAGAACCTTAGAATGTTCCACAACAGTGTTATTTGGGGCTCAGCCTTAGAACCTTAGAATGTTCCACAACAGTGTTTTTTGAGGCTCAGCCTTAGAATATTCCAGAACAGTGTTATTTGGGGCTCAGCCTTAGAACCTATGGTTATGTGTCTGTACAGGTTCATTAGTTCTAAAATACAAATCCTGTTTAAGGAGACATTTTCTGCCTTTTGTGTTAAATTTTATATATCATGTGGTCTACTGACATACAGTATAACTTCACCTCTCAAACTACATTAGCTACAATCTGCTATTCTGTACCTTTCTCTCTGCCTCAAGCAATGTAAGGTGACCAATTGTCCATATCTGATTGTTTCAAAGGGGCAAATTGTTATATGGTTACCAAAAATGTATTTATCTTTGTAAAATGTACATAACGTTGACTTTAACAAGAACCTTGGACTCTGTTATCTCCATACACTTTCTACCAGGAGCATGTTTCTTTTCATTTCACTAGACCGACATACTGATGTTTTACCTGACAAGTCACATAACACATTGTAATTACACTGGTTCTGTCAATACTATTTGACACTGGCAATACACACTCTTATAGAAATAGCACTGGAATAACCACATTCATTCTGAAGTATGAGGGCTTTCAATGGCTCAGATCAAATAACTTTCATCATGTCTAACCTGCCTTGACCCTCTCCCCAACAGAGTAAAATGAGATTGAACTTTCCGTTCCCTTTATCCACCAGGTTCCTTGTGTACCTGGAACACATTCAGAACACAAACAGAGGTGTGGGTTAGAACAAAGATAGTGTTTACACATTCAATTATTGGGAGCATTAATAGCATTTTTGCTTCCATTTAATATTACGTTAGTCAGCACCTGTCCAACTGATGCTTTTAGAACAAAGGTAGGATATCCGATGCCTTTGTTATAGCTACACTGAAATGTAGGACACTGAATCGTATGGTATAGCCACCAACTGATTTGCAACTACCCCAATACTGTACATGCTAATTATCTGGCACAAATACTTACACTAGTGCCAGAATAAAGACCAGAGGAAAAGGGTTTGGACATATGGATTGCAATGGATTTTGTTCTTAGTGGTGTGACTCATTCAGAACACTTTCAAACTATGTTCTAGCTCCAATCTAACTGAAATGTTTTATCCACCAATTTCCATAAAAAGAGCAACAAATGTTATTCCCAAATTCACCACAAAATGATTTAGGCTACTGATAAGAGGCCATTCTTTAGTGATTGACCTAAATAAATGTAATAGGAGTAATGCAAAAGGACTATTAATATCTGATGATATAGAGATCCTTTCAAACAACCTACTATGGCCCAGTTCATGTCTCTGCTTAAATTATATATAATAGTTGATATGCTGTAAGCAACACGCGCATTAGGTGTATAAAGTAATTTGACCCCTCACATGCATGTTCCCTTGTTTTGCACGCAAGTCAATGGGTACACCGGTCATGTTTTTGGGCGCAAAGAAATTTGTCAGTGTTTTTGTAGCAGCTGCAAGGTCCAGTGTGTGATCATACCGCAAACGCACAGCACGTCCTCAAAGCAACCGGTGTGGATCTGTCTCTAATTCTGATTGGCGAATGGGTTGCCACCCTCCATTTACCCCCCACAAGAACCAAAACAGTCTCCAGTTGATGGCGCAAGCCGGGAAAAACTGTGGATATAGCATTTTATTTTCGTTGAAGCAGACAATGAAACTCACTTTGAAAGTCTCATTCTGTTGTGAACATCTTCAAATGTAACTTTTTAAAAGTTTTAAAACTGAGGGCATGCATGCTAGGCTATATTTTAAAAATATGTCATCTATTGCTTAGACTATTTTACATGGCAAAAGTTTAATTTAATCTGTTCAAATGTGTTTTGCAGTTGAACATTCAAAATGTAGGCTATATTAACAATATCATATTATTAACACAGTGAATAATTGCAAATATCCCACTGCCATTGAATCCTCTGAATAGAAGCCTATGACATGTGTTGAATGTGTAAGCCTATCCAGAGGTCTAAATCACAGGAGGCGGGCTCGTGGTAATGGCTGGAGCGGAATTAGTGGAATGGTATTAAATACATCAAACATATGGTTTCCATGTGCCGTCCTCCCCTCAGCAGCCTCCACTGGTCTAAAAGTAGTTGTTCTAAATTGTGTATATATATCTAGAGGTCTAAATTGAATGTTGCCTGCTGATCACTCATGCTACACCTTTCAAGTTAAAGTTTACACCATATAGCCAGCACCCCACCAATTTCAAGTTAATGTGGTGCTAAACATGCTGGTGTTTTTGCAATTCATTGTAATACTATTAGTTGCAGGATTTCATGATAAGGTGATAACTGCATATATATATATATATATTATTTTTATAGATTTAAAATAACAAATAAAAATAGTATGTTTATCAGCAGGGCATAGGATATATTTTAAATTAAACAGGCCTACTCAATAACAACAACAACACAACAAAACATAATAATAATAATAATAATAATAATAATAATAATAATAATAATAATAATTTCAAAATCGAAATAACAAACAGAATTCTAATATTTTTTACCTCAACGGGTCAAACTTTGCAAATTTCATCCATTCCTGTGGATTGCTGTCATATGCTTCCATTATATTGTTCACCTCAGTCACATTGATATCCTCACTTTCATAGTGTTTATGCAGCAATTTGATCAGGTCATCAAGAGTTTCTGGTTTCATCACTTCGGTTTTCTCCATGGTTAAGAACGTATTTGTTACTGCAAGCTTGCTTTCTAACTAACTAAGTAACCAAGTAGCCTACTTTTATACCCTCCCTCATCTTTTTGTGGCCAACTTTTGTTGGACTGTACCATTATGAAAAAGGGTGAACGTATTATGAGTTCAAATATGAACAACCTTTATGGGAATAACATCACTATTTCCCATAAAAGATTTGTCCTCAATTGTAAATAATAGCAGGGGTTTTATTTATAAGATCGATTTAAGGTAAAGGTGTTGTAACATTCTTAATTATTTACCCCCACATCAAGTACTTGGACCAATCCTATCCTTTGCTGCTGCTGTTAACAAAACCTCTTCATTTCCAGGATTATTTTTGCCTTGACAATCTACAGGAACCCCCTCGACAATGTACAATAACCCCCTTTGAACCTTTTGATGAGTCAGGTCTCAGGAATTTAGTCAACAATATATAAAGAGAGAGAGAGAGAGAGAGAGAGAGACAGAGAGAGAGAGAGAGAGAGAGAGAGAGAGAGAGAGAGAGGGACGTGATGGTGTGGTAACTGGAATTGAACCATGCACATGCAATCGATGACTAACATATCTGAGACTTGAAGACTTGGGTTACTTCCCTGAGCTATTGCCAAAGCTTAGCTCAGCGTCTTGCACAGTTGCAGCACACGATGACTTGGGTTCAATACCAGTCATTCAGAGAAAGAGGTTTAACTGAGATATTTTAATAGGCAGAGGCATTATTCCTGTTGAAGAATATAATTAGGTTATATAATAGTTTAGCTTATTGTTAACATTTGTCTTTATTTATTGCCATAGGCTAGATCATTTTTCACCCGCTGCTATACTTCCTGCACATCTTCACAGGATCATCCAAAAAGTAACAAGTAGTCTTCAAATCGTGTACGCTAAAGTCAAGACACCCTGTCAAGTTAAACCATGTTTATGGATGCTATTTCCCACCACAAACATATACAGTTGAAGTCGGAAGTTTACATACACTTAGGTTGGAGTCATTAAAACTCGTTTTTCAACCAATGCACAAATTTCTTGTTAACAAACTATAGTTTTGGCAAGTCGGTTAGGACATCTACTTTGTGCATGACACAAGTAATTTTTCCAAAAATTGTTTTACAGGCAGATTATTTCACTTATAATTCACTGTATCACAATTCCAGTGGGTCAGAAGTTTACATACACTAAGTTGACTGTGCCTTTAAACAGCTTGGGAAATTCCAGAAAATGATGTCATGGTTTTAGAAGCTTCTGATAGGCTAATTGACATAATTTGAGTCAATTGGAGGTGTACCTGTGGATGTATTTCAAGGCCTACCTTCAAACTCAGTGCCTCTTTGCTTGACGTCATGGGAAAATCAAAAGAAATCATTGTTGGGAGCAATTTCCAAATGCCTGAAGGTACCATATTCATCTGTGCAAACAATAGTACACAAGTATAAACACCATGGGACCACGCAGCTGTCATACCGCTCAGGAAGGAGACGCGTTCTGTCTCCTAGAGATGAACGTACTTTGGTGTGAAAGTGCAAATCAATCCCAGAACAACAGCAAAGGACCTTGTGAAGATGCTGGAGGAAACAGGTACAAACGTATCTATATCCACAGTAAAACTAGTCCTATATCGACATAACCTGAATGGCCGCTCAGCAAGGAAGAAGCCACTGCTCCAAAACCGCCATAAAAAAGCCAGACTACCGTTTGCAACTGCACATGGGGACAAAGATCGTACTTTTTGAGAAATGTCCTCTGGTCTGATGAAACAAAAATAGAACTGTTTGGCCATAATGACCATCGTTATGTTTGGAGGAAAAGGGGATGGCTTGCAAGCCGAAGAACACCATCCCAACCATGAAGCACGGGGGTGGCAGCATGATGCTGTGGGGGTGCTTTGCTGCAGGAGGGACTGGTGCACTTCACAAAATAGATGGCATCATGAGGAAGGAAAATGATGTGGATATATTGAAGCAACATCTCAAGACATCAGTCAGGAAGTTAAAGCTTGGACAATGACCCCAAGCATACTTCCAAAGTTGTGGCAAAATGGCTTAAGGACAACAAAGTCAAGGTATTGGAGTGGCCATCACAAAGCCCTGACCTCAATCCTATAGAACATTTGTGGGCAGAACTGAAAAAGCGTATGCGAGCAAGGAGGCCTACAAACCTGACTCAGTTACACCAGCTCTGTCAGGAGGAATGGGCAAAGATTCACCCAACTTATTGTGGGAAGCTTGTGGAAGGCTACTCGAAACGTTTTACCCAAGTTAAACAATTTAAAGGCAATGCTACCAAATACTAATTGAGTGTATGTAAACTTCTGACCCACTGGGAATGTGATGAAAGAAATAAAAGCTGAAATAAATAATTATCTCTACTATTATTCTGACATTTCACATTCTTAAAAGAAAGTGGTGATCCTAACTGCCCTAAGACAGGGAATTTTTACATGGATTAAATGTCAGGAATGGTGAAAAACTGAGTTTAAATGTATTTGGCTAAGGTGTATGTAAACTTCCGACTTCAACTGTAGGTTATCCAGACAGGGTGTCATTTGTTCCCAGCTACTGGAAATGAAGTGGGAAGATTGTGTTCCTTGACATGCTGCCAAATATAAGGGTATCAGGCCTGTATCCATGGTGATGTGATGATGTACATTATAGGCTGGCATATACACATGATCTCATAGATGCCAACAATTAGGTCTAGAAGGATATATCCTAGTCGGAAATATATGGAACAACTAATGATTTCTTCCTATCATTTTCATGTTTGTAAGGTTAAAAAAATATTGGAAATATCAAGATTGAATTTCATGACCAATTTAATTTCTACACACTTTGGACATACAGATTTAGCGTTCCAGTGCAATTTATGTTTATTGTCATTTTATCAAAATCAATTGGGCTCTTACGCCACCTAGTGTCGTAACCCAGGTGGAACGTAATGTCCAAAATTGAAAATGATGGTACAAGTAGAGAAGTGTGGGAGTAGGCTACCCAGAAGATTGCCGTTTCCAATTTATCAGGTGAATGGGCGTATTGGGGATGTAATTCTCCCACATAGCTATGTCACTACTTTACTAAATGAAAAGACTGGACCAAATGGGAAATGGGGACAACATAACATGTTATGGATCAGCCTGGCCTCAAAGACTAGACGTAACCTAGTAAACGTATTTCTGTGACACTCAAATTAGTCTCACAGAGTTTCTAAACCCAGAGGCGCAACATCGCGAGACTTCCGGTAACACTTGCGAAACAGACCAAACAGACCAGGCCGGGGTTTGGTGTTTGAGAAGTCAATGAGAGAAGTGAAAAATTATTCCTTAGTTGTTAATTTTCTCGAAATGTAAAGGTACAACCCAGATTTGAGCCAATGTCTTAAGTAGTTGAACATGTTATTACTTTGTGAAGGTGACAAACTGACACATTTTCATTTTCGTCAAAAACAACTTTATATCGAAGGAGTGCCTTTGATTTGTCTGCCGTTAGACCCGATGACGTGTTTCTATGCATGACCGTAGCTAGCTAACGTTGCCATGACATCGCCTACAAGTGTGATCGGGGATTTCTATTGGAGAAGCAGTTTTAGCCTATCTTCATACTGTACTGTCTTTGCTAGTATCATATGCTACGTTTGGTATGGTTTCATAAGACAGAAGGTTACTTAAGCCAAAAACGAAAGGAGGGAGGATATAACGTGAATGTCTAGCAACCCAAAGGTTGCATGTTCAAATCACATATAACTTCAGCATTTTACAATGTTTTAGCTACTTTGCATGTTAGTAACCCTTCCCCTAACTATAACACTTAAGTCATTTAGCAGACACTCTTATCCAGAGCGACTCCCTGTGGGAATCAAACCCACAACCCTGGCATTACAAGAACCATGCTCTACCAACTGAGCCACACAGGACCACTTAACCCTAACCTTAACCTAACCTTAACCTTAACCTTAACCCTAGCTAATGTTGGCCATCTAGCTAACGTTAGCCACAACAAATTGAAATTTGTAACATATCATACGTATTGTAAATTCATAACATACTGTATGAATTGTAATTCGTAACATATCATACAAAATGGATGATGCACATCAACAAATGAATATATACCATACGAAACATATCATACTAAATAGAGGGAGAAAGTTTGCATGGGTCCAGGTTGCATGAATAGGCCCAATTATTTTATTGTTGTAGCTTTCTATAGGCTATAGCTTGGAGTTTACCCTATTGTTGTAAGAAATATGAAAACAACGTTAGACTATAGCCTATAGCCAGGTCGGGCATTTTACTTAAAAATGGAAATCAGTTACTGACTACAGATTACATGACAATAAAAATAATAAGTAACGTAATTCATTGGATTACTCGAAATGAGTAACTTTCTATTTATCCCACTCTCTCTTTCCGTCTCTCTCTCTCTCTCTCTCTCTCTCTCTCTCTTTCTGTCTCTCTCGCTTTCAATCTGTCTCTCTCTCTCTCGTGAATTGGGAGTGATCAGGTTTTCCAATAAACGTTGTTTTCATATTTCTAACAACAATAGGGAACACTCCAAGCTATAGCTTATAGATAACTACAACAACAAAAGTGGGAAGATTGTGTTCCGTTTTCTCTATTGTAAACACACATTTATATATTACAGTTTTTCTCAATTGCTAAGACACATTTCTTGAAAGCTGCTCTCCTTTTCTCTTAACTGTGAACACAAAACCCAATTTTCAAGCTACATTCACAAAACCTCAGACTCTTCTTGCAAAACCAAACTTTCACCTCAAAACAGTTCAATCTGTGCTCAAAACTGAACTATGTTGTCAAATCGTGCCCCGAGTCAATCAAAATTAAAAACACTACTGAACAGTCACTAAACACTACGTAGAAAAATAGAAAACACAATGCTCAGGACATGAAGCTGGAGAAATAAATGTTTATTGTTCACTGTAGGCTAAATGCATGTTGCAAAACAAAAAAAAACTGTGCATTTAGCACT